CCTGAACGCTGTCGGGCCTGCAAAATGGCCGTCGGGCCTGCAAAATGGCCCGTGTGTGCACGCGCTGCATGTAACATCCGGCCTACCACTGGACACTCTAGTCTCCTTGGCCTACAGCGGCCTAACAAACATCCGAGTGCACCTGGATTGAGCTAAAACTAAAACTCTTCAGCTTCCTATCCTATTCTACAGTGAGGTAGTGGTGGGAGAGAGAGAGGGGGGGAGGAGGGGTAATGAGGGGATTGTCAAAGACTGTATAGTTGTTCTTCCAACTCATGCTTCAAGCCATGGGGAGATGACCATCCTGCCCTCCACTGTAACGGCTGCAAGCTGGTTGTCCCTGACCCAGGTCACCAAGAACCATCTGGTGCCCCTGGGGGATGTGCCTTTGGCTGCTTTCCTTACCCAGTCCACGACTATCAAGAGTCGGATCAGCGCCTTGATCTTCTTCTGTATCGCGATGTCTGAGGACCACTTCTGCTCGAAGAGGATGCCGTTCCTCTCTGTCCAGATTACCCAGAGGATAACCGATCGGATTGTCTGAGCGACGTAGCCCCTTCCTGTTCCTTTGAACCAGTGCGCCGGGATCTGCCCTCCCAGTACCCAGGCCTCCTCCCATTGCAGCACATTTCCCACAAAACGATATCAGTGGTCCACCCACCATCTCCAGATTCGATTCGAGGCAGGGCACGACCAGATGAGATGCCTTAAGGTCTCCTCTTCTCTACCACCACACCTAGGACATTTGGTAGGCAATTCCATCCCTCTCTCGAAAAGCCAGACAGCGCAGGGGACGATGGTATGTGTGAGAAGCCAGAGGAAAGAGGCGAACTTCAGCGAAGGCAGAATGTGGAGCTGAGCCCAGATTTCCGATAGATTAAGGTCCTCTAAAAGTGTTGGATCTGTTGGAACTCTTGCCAGCGAGAGTTTTGACTGATGCACACCTCCACATTCTTAAAATCCAAAGATTGTAATAAAAGCAAGAATATTAGAATAAAGATAACTTTGCAAATTTAATTGAATTGAATTTCAGATTTCTGAGGTAAATTGGACGGATATCCAGGTTCCCAACTAGATAAGTCTTCCAAAGCACCACTGTATATTCTCAAACAAGGGTTACAGAATGTAAGAATGATAGAGATGGAAGATTATACAGTATACAGTTCAACAGTACCAATCGAGGACCTAGAGGTTGACCCTGGAGAATGGGCAATCAAGAGTAGCAAGAAGAAATGGGCAATCAAGAGTAGCAAGAAGAATCAACATCCTCCAATATACCACAAAAACGGGGTATAGATTGAGGAACAGATCCAGCTCCATGGGAGACTCTCTGACCAAACGCTGGGAGAAGAAAGTAGGGATCCCTAGGAGCCTAATGCCCGATATACCGTGGTCTAACATCCTATCTATCAGACTGGGTCAAGTTAGAAGTATGCAATGGCTAATAGCGCACATGGCACTACCAGTGAATGTGTGGCTCAACGAAAGAAGAAGTCACAATCAGAGAAACGAGGAAGCGGAGCTTTGCAAGGTGTGCCAAGAAGGGCTTCCGGAAACATTGGTGCATTGTCTGCTGGAATGTAAGGAGGCAGAAGTATTGTGGGAACAAGTTAGGGGGATTTGGAAACAGGTAGCGACGATAGCCTTTCCAGAGTCAAAGATTACCATGCTTTTGG